AATTACTTTTATGATCACTTACTTTAAAAAAGAAAGCCTAAAAAAAGTTCGAAAGAAAGCCTAACCGGGAACCCATACCCACTAAAACTCCTGGGCATGTCGCAATAGCGTGGCTTATGTGAAGAGGGGGGGGGAGACGCTCGTGGGAGTGGAACCTACATTTCAGTCTCCCCTCTCCGGTAAGCCAGAACGTTTCCGTTCCACATGATCACTTATGGGGAGATCCGCCCTAATCTCCGTTCCGTCTCCTCCTCGAAGATGAGAACGCACCTCCCGGGACGTTCGGCACCCCTTTCGGAAGTGTCCTCTGGTCCCTCGCCGTGGGGAATTGGATGAGAAACGCGCCTGTTTCTTGAGGATGCGATCAGGGCTGGGGATGAAGACTTACCGCACCACCTGAAAAGGGTAAAAGATCAAAAGGGAAGTGTTATTTGATCGCATCCTCCCTAAAGGTGTGAGGAGTATAAAAAGGGGACAGAAGAGGAATCGACCGGGGTCGCCGACCCTCGAGAAGAAAGAAAGAAGCGTGTGTGTGTGTGTGTGTTTCCACCCGACGACGACGTGTTCGCACCCGCCGCCGCCGGGCGTCATCACCCTCACCATTGCGGAGACGTTCGCGACCTGCCACGTCGCTCCGGCCTCCGCCACGGGGAACGCGAGCTTCCGGAACCGGACGACGCGGGCGGGCTCGTTACTCCCGGCCGAATCGCCCGTTTCCTTCACCTGCGCGCCCCCCCGCCGCTAGTCGCTCTGGAAGGAATCGAAGACATGAACCTGAAAAAACAGAAACATTAATCCCCGCACTCCCCCCCTCATGACGACCCCACGACGATCGAGGTTTGTCAGACCCCGACCGCCGAGAGGAACGGCGACGCACCGAAGCCGGGACGAATCCTCCCCCCGACATAATCAAGCAAGAGATCCGGAGCCCGACTCGGAGTACCGGGACGAATCCCTTCCTCCCTCGTGCCACGGGAGACGGTTCGGACCTGCCACGTCGTTTCCGCCTCCCCCGCGGGAGAAAACAAACATCCGGACCCGAACGAACCGGACGGGGCGCGACTCCCGCCCGAATCGCCGACTCCTTCCGCTGCGCCCTCCCACCTCGATCCGTTTTGGAAGATCACGAAGATGCACACCTGAAACGAAATGACGTTAATCCCCGTTCCTTCCTCGACGACCCCGCGACGACCCAAAGTTCACCATACTCCGACCGCCGCGAAGAACGCCGACGCACCGAAGTCGGGACGAATCTCCCCCCGACATAATCGAGCAAGAGACCCGGAGCCCGACTCGGAGTACCGGGACGAATCCTTTCCTCCCTCGTGCCTCGGGAGACGGTTCGGACCTGCCACGTCGTTCCCGCCTCCCCGCAGGGACGAAGTGAGCTTCCGGAGGCGGTGAGGAAATTCGGAGATGGGGCTCGACGAAACGTCTCCCGCAGTCCATCCGCGTTTCGCCCCTGCCGCCTTCTTGATGACTCTTGGGGTCCGAAGAGCAAGAATCCGACCGGTGCGGAGCTCGACGTCGTGGCTAGCGACGGATCCATCCTCGTCCCGATCTTCATCTATTCGCATCTTCTTTCCGCCGTGGGAATGAATCGCACGCACCGTCTTTAGGCATGCGAAGCATCCCCCGAGAATGACGAGCTTCCAGAGACGAGTCGATCCCCCGCGAAAGGAGCCGGTACATCCCACGCATGAAGATCTTCCCGTCGACCATCCGCTCGCATCCCCGTTTCCCGGAGCAGGATGATGAAACCCTGAAAGAAAAGTGCCGAGTCCCACACTCTCTCCTCCCCGGTAGGTTAGGTCAGGTCTGACTCTTCTGGGGCTGGGAGTCGTGGCGTGCTCCTGTAATCTAGCTACTTGGAAGCCGGGTGCAGCGGATGTTTACTCATAAGCAGACCTGTTCCCCACCAATCTCGGGGTATAAGACGTGGACCCCGGCATCTGTTCTTTCTTTTCAGGGATACGATTGGATGTCTGGATTCACCGTTCAATATTCAAAACACGGAATCGCAAGCGGAAAGAACTCTCGTCCCTGGAAGCTTTCGATTCTTGCGGGCGTTTCGCAAGCAAGTGCCACACAGCGAACGAATCGCTCGCCACAGCGTAAAAGAAGCTCGAGATGAAGGCAACGGCCCCGGTGGACGTCGACACCGGACGTCGCGACGACGGATTTTCGTAGCTTAGTCAAAGAAGAAGTTTTTATCGTTTAGGTGGCAACGATGGGAGTGCGGAAGGATTGCGGG